GGGGCAGTCGGTTCCAGGTGTACTGGACGCCCCTCCAAGTGAAAGCAAACTGTGGCCTGCACTCCGCCACCAAAGGGATTGAGAAAAACGCATTAGCGATATCAACTGTGGCATATGACATCTTCCTTGAAGGGATGCCTTTCCTTCACACCTGACAGGACGCACCTCCAGAGGCTGAGGACTTGTGCCCCTTTTCCAATCACTTTGTCAATGCCTGTCGCGGGGTTTGGAGTAGCCGCAGTGCCTGTCGCTGTCCATGCAAACCTTCTGGTACAGCAAGGACAAGATGGGTGGATGATGCAGCAGGACTGCTCACACACGCCGCCCAGCAGAAACACAGGCCCTGGAGCAGCGCCTGGCTGCTGTGATGTCCTGTGCGCCTCTGAACACAAGGACTGCATGAAGCCCATCCTGACTTGCCAATCTCGGGATTGAGTACCGCTCAAGAGGAGCAACCAGATTCAGAACACACCTGAGCAGAGACTCCAGAAGGCTGAGCTGAGACAGACCTCACTGTATTAAAGGATCCCATAACACAGTGGACATTGGGCTTCTCCAACATCTGGCAACATGGGGCTCAGATGAAACGGTCCCACTGGCCTTCCTCAGCCCTACTCATCAGCTCCTTCAATAAACTGACCAAGGCTAGGACCCAGGGGTTTTCGTTGCTTTTTTTGGTTACAATAGACACAAATGCCGCACGCAAGCAGGTCAAAGACCCAACCTCCTCCCCACCACAGAAATCCAGCATCATTCATCAGCCAAACTCTGGTCTGACAACTGCCCCGTCCATTCTGTCCAGGAGTAAAGCTCCCATGTAGGATCTGGAGAGCAAGTCCTTGGGCTCAACAAACATGACCCATGTCCAGGTTCTGCTCAAGGATTCAAAAAGCCATAACAAAAGGGATATGGAGGGATTCAGACATGCTGTTAGTAAAAAAAAGAGGGAAGAAAGAAAAGAGGGTTCCTCTGAAGTCTTTGCTCATGCCACCACCAGAAGCTTCCTTAGCTCAGCTTCAGTACAGTTAAGTTTTTGCTTTGATTATCCCCTCAAGTGTCCCTCTGACAACGTCATGTCTTCACTTGACGTGCAAATGACTTTTTAAAATGCTGTTTCCATGGTAGTTATGAACCAGATGAGCCTTCTCCAGATCTAAGGAAGAAAAAATTTGCTACACAGACTTGCATTTATAGTCCTGCTCCAGAGGGAACACAGCCAGGTTCACAAATTACAGCATCTCCCACGTCCTTCATTAACCAACGCTGAGCTTTCTGTTGCAGTATATAGCTTGCACACTGGAGATCTCAAGTATAATGCAATTAAGCGTAGACACCAAAGAGGGAAATGCCCAAAGCAATAAATTTAAGAAAATATTTATTTAGAGACACAAAGCCCTTTCGCTGACAAAGACCTCATTGCATGTTCAGCCTCGCAGAAAAAAGTTACAAGCCTGCAAGCAATACATGCTGGGCTATAATTTTGCCTTGTCTTTCTAAAGCCCATTTCGATCCCAGAATAGCCCCTTAAGTCTTTACAAGTTTAAAGGCCAAATACCCACATTTATGTAGGTAAACCCTATCACTGCCACAATTTAATTATCATAGAATCATAGAATAGTTTGGGTTGGAAGGGACCTCTAAAGCTTATCTAGCCCAACCCCCCTGCAATGAGCAGGGACATCTTCCACTAGATCAGGTTGCTCAGAGCCCCGTCCAGCCTGACCTGGAATGTTTCCAGGGATGGGGCATCCACCACCTCTCTGGGCAACCTGGGCCAGTGCTTCACCACCCTCAGCGTAAAACATTTCTTCCTTAGATCTAGTCTAAATCTACCCCCCTTTAGTTTAAAGCCATTCCCCCTTGTCCTGTCGCAACAGGCCCTGCTAAAAAGTTTGCCCCCATCTTTTTTATCAGCCCCCTTTAAGTACTGACAGGCTGCAAGAAGGTCTCCCCGGAGCCTTCTCTTCTCCAGGCTGAACAACCCCAACTCTCCCAGCCTTTCTCCATAGCAGAGGTGTTCCGTCCCCTGATCATTTTTGTGACCCTCCTCTGGACCCGCTCCAACAGGTCCGTGTCTTTCTTATGCTGAGGGCTCCAGAGCTGGACGCAGTGCTCCAGGGGGGGTCTCAGTTTGGTTTTACATAGATAGGTGCATCCACTGCCAGACCCCAAACATACTGCCGGACCCACAGGTAGGGTTTGCTCTGCTCATCTGTAGGTTTCTGCTACCTCCTAAGTCACCTCTGGCAGCTGCTCAGCGGCATTGCTAAATGTTAAGAAACAAAGAACATCCTAATGAATTCAAGTTTCAAGTACGATTTTAACCAAAAGAACATGGAAGAGAGGTATTGCAGCACATTGTAGTTTCAATTAGAATAAAGAGGCTTTACATTAGCGTGCTAATAACCCTGCTGAGAAGGACCTGGGGTTATGGAGGACACGAGGTTGAATGAGCCAACAGGGTACGTCCACTACGAATAAGTCAAACCATATACTGGGTGGCATTAAGGGAAGTGTCACCAGCAGACCAAGGGAAGTCGCTCTCCCTTCTGCTCGGCCCTGGTGAGGTGGCGCCAGCACCACCGTGCCCTGGTTTGGGCCTCCCAGTTCAAGGAGGATGTGTAGGGGGTCCAATGCAGAACTACCAAACCAAGATGGTGAGGCACCCGGGGAACATAGCTTACAAGGGGAAGCTTGAGGAAGCTGGGCTTGTTTAGGCTCACAGAGAAGGGGCTATGAGATGATCTAATTGCCGCCTACACTGTCTGACAGGCAGTTATGAAGATGACGAAATCAAACTCTTCAAGAGTGACAGACACTGTCACAAGGGGAAATGGCCCTTAGAGGTTTGGTTTGGAAAATCTTCTCCTCACAGAGGGTGGTGCAGTGCTGGAACAAGTCCTGGGGGGGGGGGGGAAGTCTTCAACCTTGGGGTTTCAAGACTTCAGTCAACCTGGTCTACTGCTAGCAATAGTCCTCCTTTGAGGGGCTGGTTGGACAGATGCCTCCAGTCTTTCTTCACTTGCTGTGGTGGGACAGGTCAAAGAACTTCAATGTAGTTGCCTGCATGTGACATGAGGAAGGAGAGCTCACAAGGATGAGCTTCAGAGGGCAGGAACAAGCTTAGCAGCTCATCACACCAATGCAATATCAATTCTTTATCCCAGTGCCTCCAGGGAGACTCTGCCAGTAGCTTGGTGTGCTAAGTCCTGTACAGAGATGGCGTTTGCCCCAAAACGCCCTTCCTCTAGGCTGAGAGAGGTCATGGCTTGCAAATAAATCAGTGAAGCACAGAGGAAGGCAACAGAAACAAGTATCAAAGAAACAGTGTCCACAAATATGGTCCAGAAGTGATAGCCACTGAGGAACAGCAAAGATGGGGTTTCTAAGAGCCAGGACCCCACTGTATCTCATCAGCAAGAGGCTCACAGCTCTGTCGAGTCCAAAGTGATGCTTTCACCTCCTTTACACCCTGTCTGGCTGAAAGCTGTTCTGTTTCAATGGAGCCCACGCATCTGTGCTGGGAGGGAAGAGGGCCAGGCTCAGCCTGAACAGACCCAGTGGAAATTGTTTCCCCTCTGTCTGGAATCGGCGTGGCTGTAATTAAAACCCCACCCCATGTTATCATCCTCCCTCCCAGCCTTTCTGCAGCATTTCAGGCTGTTTTTCAGAAACCCTGCTCTTCTCTTCAACCTCTGGTGCCAGTGTGTGGAGCAGGGATCTAATTGGGGTTACAGCACATACAAAGCCCTGACCCATTTTCAGCGCCGAATGGCAATGCTTGGACAGATGCAGCCCTGCTGATTTGCATCCAGAGAGCCTCTTCCATGACCGTTGTGGACAAGAGGGCTTGCTTTTCCAGTGCTGTCAATCCAGAAGTGCTTCTAGCACCCTGTGCACACTGGGTTGCATGGCAGGGGAAGGAGCTTTGGTCTGCAGGTGACACGTGTGGGCATTTTAAAGCCCAAATACCTCTTGCATCCAGAGCAACATCTCCTCCCATTCCTGCATGAATATTTGGGAACCCAAAACTTTGCAGCACTGTGGCTGCAATGCCCATTCACAGCGTTCCCAGGGCTTTGCTTCACCTCTGAATGATTTTTTTTTAGCCCTTTCTTAACTTGGAGCTAAGACAGATTTAGGCTTTGCACTGGAGCAGACTAGGAGCGTTAACATCCTTTACTGGAGGTACAAACTGAAAGAAAGAGGAGTTCCAAAATACCCTTTTTAAAAAAAAAAGGCTTTTTTTTTATGCTACTATTATAAATAATCAAGAGCAATGGTGATGGTTTCAGTTCTCAGAATGCGGGTCTGAGCAAAGAGAAAAACCACACTCCTGGGAGGAGACAGCTCACATCATTAAGTTAGTAAACACTCCCCCTCACACAACTTCAGCATCTAAAGCACGTGATTTATTTAAGGGATCAACTACCCACTGCGTTTTAAAATACAGTTTACATATTATCTTTGACAAGAAGATTATGTCAAAGCAGTTTGGTTAGAAGACAGCCCAAGGTACTGTCAAAATGTTTTAAGATGCTGCTGAGACAGTAAAAGGGAGAATAATTTCCAGCACTGGGGGGGGGGAGATGGCAACACCCTGAACTCCCCAGCACATCCCACTGGAAAGCTTGTTTTCAGCTCCTTCCAACTTTGCAAAGTTTTCCACACCCATGTCTGCTTCAGGCTGAATTTTTGTCATTTATATTTTGTGGAAAGTTGCAGCCAAATTGCTCAGCCACTTCCAAAAACAGCCAACCATAGAAACAAACAAACAAAAAACAACCAAAAAGCTTCCACACGATTTCAGCACCATCTTTGTTTTCGCATGCTGTTCACCGGGGAGCACACCTACCCAAAGCTCCATATGGAGACGTGAGGACACATTACATCTACCGGTGAAGGCAGGCAGAAGCAGCTCTCCTTCAGTTCCACTTCCCACCTCACTTTCCCTTTACTGCCATTAACAAGCCCGTCTGAAGGACTCAAATGCATCCAACCCAGTGTCAAACAGCTCTTAGAGGCGTATGATGGCAGCCGAATTTGTTAAGGGTTTGCCCCTCTACTACTAGGAAAACTCTACTCACCAGTTGATTTCATTGTAGTCGTTGTGAACTTCCCACCAGAAGTAAAACCAGACCAGGGTCAGGAAGAAGGACGAGGTGAGGATGAGGAACCAGAGGCGCTCCCACTGCGGAAGGAAAGAGAAGTCAGTGTTAATACTATCCCTTTTCAGGGCCAGTGCCCCATCCTGTCCCACATCTCGTCTAGAAGCTGTTGAGATTGGATGGAGTAACTAGACATTTCCAAGGGCAGATTTCAGACCTTTCTGCCCTGGGGGAGTGTCCTGGTTTCGGCTGGGATAGAGTTAATTTCCTTCCTAGTAGCTGGTACAGTGCTGTGGTTTGGATTTAGGGTGAGAACAATGTTGATAACACACCGATGTTTTAGTTGTTGCTGAGCAGTGCTTACACTAGTCAAGGACTTTTCAGCTTCCCATGCTCTACCGACTGAG